TGATTACACTAAGTACATCATAGATGTGAATTGAAAGTGTTATTTACTGACTTGAGTTGATGTAGTTTCTAACAGTACAGAATATTTAATTATCTTATTTAATTTTCCTGAAAAAGCAAAAAGTTATGTCGTAGATTATTATTATCAAACATGTTTTGTCTGGCATGGAGCATTACTATTTCACTTGGCAAAGATTAAGATGCCTTTTTCAACCAGAGCCTCCTTTCCTTTTCTCCCAGGAATACTTCTCATGCTATTGTGGTTATCATTCTCATGATTGTAACGCTCATCTAGGAAACCTTTGTTTGAAAACACTAATATGAATTGGATAATAACATGGCTTGCTAAAAGAACTCTCTCATCTATGGTTGGTTTTTAAATGCTCGTAAATAAAGACTGGGTCACCTGGTCCTGCAAGCCATTCTGTTTCATTCAGTGAACATTATAGCGGCCATTTGACTACACAGCAATGTTGGCAGGAGCAGTGCTTCAGTGTACCTTTCCCAGTACTCAACACTTGGATGGTTCTTGACCATTCACAGAGCTGCCTGCAGTCCCTTAATTAGAAACAGATGTCCTAAATGAAAAGGATGATCAGAGCAATGTTAATGGTTCAACTGCTAATCGCAAATTTCTGGCTGTATTTTGAAGTTCAGTAGGATTTTTTTTTTTCTATGCATAAAGAAAGCAAATTTCTAAATTGTTGGTACACAAGTGATTACACAGTTTGATAAAGTGATGTGTTATTTTGGCTTGAAAGATGTCAGTTCCTTATAGTTAAGTAAAAGATTTGTAAAGGATTTTAAGAGTTTTTCTGTGTATTTGTGTGTGTATGTAGATATGTATGAACACCCATCCGCACTTTCATATGATTGTAGGAAAATTCTAAAACGGATACAGCTGTACTTGTGGATGATTTATTTCAGGTCTGCTGAATTTCCTCAGGTTTTTTAAAAAGTTACTTTTTTTTTTTTTTTTTTAATATTTGCCTGACCTGCAGGGAAGGAGCCCCTTGGAAAATCAATGTGAAATTCTAATAGACAAAATGGACAAAAACTAGTCCAGAAATGCCTGCGTTTGCTAAATAACAGTTAATATAATTGCTTGAAATTTATTTTAATATTTTTCATCTTGTTAATAGTACTTCTTGTTGGTTGCTTTATTGGCATTCACTTAAGAAAGCAACTATATTTGTGAAAGTTTCTGTCATCTTAGAAAGCACAGCAGAAACATATTTTATAATCAGTATCTGGACAAGCTGGTTTCACCTGTTGTGCATTTTGATTTCTGGAAGGTATGTCTTTTCCCATTTCCCCTCCTTCCCCCCATACTTACCTCATGAATTTACAAATACGTATTTGTTTTGCTATTCCTCAGATCAACATTTCCATTCTCTTTTTGTCTGAAACTTCAGTTCTGCTTACTGCCTTAGAAAGTCCTTCTCTCTTTCAACTCTTCTGTCTGCTGCAGATCTTTTTGATCACTTTTACTTTCTCTCATTTACTGCCTTTCTTTTGTCCTTTATTCACCCACATCATTCCAATGAAATTGTTCATCTGTAAGGCTTTAGTGGCCTCCTGCTGGTCAGAAACGCTATTATATACAGTTTTATATATATAGTTATATATGTTTATAACAGTTTCCATTTGTGTCAGGAGTATGTTTTTGAAGTGAATCTTGCCTTAAACCCTGCTTGCTGCATTTTGGTTCACGGAGCAGTCTTGGAGCAATCCCAACAGGTAATGGGTGTTCAGTCCACAGGACCAGACTAGGACTAGCTGTTAAATGCTGCTGGAAGTGTAGAGTGCAGATATCAGATCTTTAGTGCTGGCTCTCAGTCTGCAGATGCATTTCTGCTGGTGCACTCTGTGTCCTAATGGAGACATGGCTTTTGCTGCCTTGATGCCTGTTGCTTCCCTGGGCTTTGCTGCTCCTTCCCTCACTCCTTCAGTCTTACCTGTTTCCGTATCTGGAATTTGGTTCACCGGCAGCTGGAACCCAGGCTCACCCACATTCAGCCTCCATCCAGCCTTGCTTGCATCCAAGATTTCCAGCTGGGTGCTCTCTTATGGTCTTAAGCTGTGACAGAAATTGATCCTGTCTCCACTTTGGCTGTCACAGCTTCTTGTGTTGTGTTGATGCCGGGATACTTTCCTTGTGAAGTAGGTATCTGTTTATGGTCATTCTCGTTCTGTGTAGAGACCAAATGCCATTCTTCCCTTTTGAAGCACTCCACACCATTGCACCTGTCCAGATATCCTCATACTAACCTAATTTTTTTTTGTAAGCTATTTTTCACCAAGAACACCATCTGACCATTTCATCAACTCCTGTCTCTCCAACTGTTCACATGTTGTATTCTTGTATGTGTCGTAGTGTCACCGAAGTGTAGCAGGATCTCACTTTGTTTCAGAAAATTCTGAGAAATCCAGCTCGAAGAGCTTCCTTCTTCAGTGAATATAGAGTGTGTTGCTTCAGTTGTACAGGAAGTACTGTGTATTTTTGCTTAGTAGCTTGCTCACATTGAAAAATGGCATCTTCATGCCGTGTGCGTTTTGTGCATACTAAATGATGGTAGACATCAAATTTTTGTGTCAAAATCAGGTTGGCTTTTTTGAATGCCCTAGTATGTGGCAAGTGTTTGTACAACTGTGTTAAGGAAAGTCCAAACACATGCATGTATGTTAAAATGGTGTTTCTAGTAACTTTGCTGGTAATGTGATTTCAGAAATTGGATCTGTGCTTAAGATCTAACATGTTTCAATATACTGTAAACATTATTTCGACTTATTTTTAATATGGCACTTTATGTTATGGAAAAAAACTCACCTCTTGCAGCTTTGCACTTGCAAACAAATGCTTCAGCACTGAAGCTTGTTTTCTTTAGGAAGCTGGTAAAAGCTCAGCTGAGATATGGGATAAATCTTTGGCCTTTCTGAGCTACATGTGCTTACAGTATTAGCTAGTATTAGCTGCATTTCTCTTTGCCTGTTGTACAAGTAGTACTCTCTGTATTATTACCCCTTACAGCACCGAATCCCAAGTTTTTTCCTGATGACTCATTTCTGGCCAAAACCTCAGTTTCTGCTGTTTAATTACCTTCTGTTTGCTAATGCTGTTTCACGTTTCTGGTTTGTAAGTTTCTCTGGGGCAGGGCTCTCTTTCTGATAAGCAAGCAGTGCTAGATTTATATGATTGCTAGCAATATCTGTTCAGTGTGCTGCAATATGCAAAGTATGACTGTATCAAAGTGCACAACTTAAAATTTCTTGGAACATAACCTTTATATCCAATTTAGGCAGTGAATGTGCTTGCAGAACAGAAAGTGGGATCTGAGGAGCAGCTATTTAATGTTTTGGGGATTTATTTAAATCTCTCTTGTGTTTTGGGTGTATGCTTGCAAATATAAATGCATAAGTCACTTACCCCTCCCCAGTGAAAGCACACACGCACGCAGGCACCCATGAAATGTACAGTTTTCATTACTTAACTAAACTACTTAGACAAGACATGTTTTTTTCTCTTGATTTTGGTAATTGCACAGGAAGAATACTCAGAAAATGTGTAACACAGTAATTGATTCAGAGGAAAAATGAAAGGGGTCACCTGTTGCCATGTATGTTTCAGCCATCTGTTTAGGATATGTTTCAAGCTGGGTTTGTGGGGGTTTTTTTAGCAACATCTGTTCCACCTCCCATTCTCTACTCACAAGAATGTGTGCTGGTGTGTGTGTGTGTGTGGAGAGAGGACATTGAAAGTATGTTAAGCCATTTGTTCAAATGGACTTTGCAGCAGCATCAGAAAAACTTGAAAGGCAATGCCAGCTTTTAAAAGAAAAAAATGCTAAAAGCGACAGAAAGCAAAAATGCCGCATTTAGATTTTTGGGGGAAGTTTAATTAATACTCATCGGGATTCTCACTTTCAAAAAAACCTCTAAGGAAAAAGGGCATTAATATAAGAAATGTAAATAATTTTACTGAATGTTAATGAAAAAAATAACTTTCTGTAGTGTGTTAAAACTTAGTTAATCCAATTTTAAAGAAAAAGTATTAACTTGAAATTACTGAATATTGACCTGTTAATGACAGCTTGTTATTAACTGTTTTTATCTCCTGGCCATGCTGGGGATGGTGTTTGATGGTATTGGAAGACATAATTTGCTTAAAAGAGGAGTTTTACAGTATTCTTTAAGGAGCCCTTAGTGGTAGAGGCTACTCAAGAGGGATCAGGCATATCATGATGGAAGACCATATGGATATTTGTCCTTTGTGAATTCTTTTCTGAGTGTTTTTGACAGTAGAAAGTTCCATATGTAGTGCTTCAACTATGTTACTTCATTCTGTTCTTAGGATTTTCCTTCTGAAGCTACAGTTTGTTTTGTTTTTTTTTGTTTGGGTTTTTTTTTTTTTTTTTACTTTATGGCATCTGGATTTAGTTACTGGATCCGCTCTCACCAGTGCAAAGGAGGAAGTACAGGATTTGGAATAATGCAAATGTATTGCTGTAGGAAAATCAAAACATGCATGAATTACTGTTTTAATCTTGTCTGCTGAGTGTACACATTGTTTTGAAGACTGGAAGATCCATAGCTTTGCTTATATCTCTGTGGGGTGTTGCATTTTGATTTACATCTTAATAGCTCAATTAAAAAAAAAAAAATCTATAAACTGGTCCAGCAGAGTTGCAGTAGAAACATGGAATAATCCAGATGGACAGAAGCTTTTTCACTGTAGCCTATAGTTGAACAACTCCTGCACAAATAAATACATTTTGTTTAAAAATATATGTTCCTTTAGGTTGACCAGTATTTTATATTGTTTGTTAGTTTTATTGTTGCACACTTGATTACATTTGTTCTTGATGACGCTCTTTCCCAGCGCTTTGAGCTCCATAATAATTGATTATGCCTTCTGTAGTAAACAAGTGACTTGAAGTTATTAATATCAATCTTAAAATAATCTTTTTGGGTTTTTTCTGTTTTTTTTTTCCACAAAAATAGATAATATACCTGAGAGAATCTCCAGAAGACGTGTATAGGCTTATATTGGCTGGAAGCGTTTCGTATCTTCCTTTCAGGTAAATAACAAGTTGTTAGAACTTTCTGTACCTTAATTGAAGAAAAAGAATGTAGCATTTATCAGTATTGATTTGTTTTTTTTTTTTTGCTGAAGTTTTAACACATGACACATTCACTGCCTGAGCTTTAAGTGCAGACTGCTGAACAGGGTCTTATCAGCTGGTACTGAAGTGAAGGAGCCACGCTGCTTGGTATGCCTTCTTGTTGAGCTCTTTGATCTACATTGCTTCACACTTGGCAGTCTGGTTTTGTGCCAGTAGCTGATAGTTAAACGTATCAAAATATCTGTCATTCATCACAAATGGCTTGTAATACTTTTAGCATTCCATTTTTCCCAGTTGTTGAATGTATGCAGCAACCTGCAAATACTGTTTTGTCCATAAAGAATGCTAGCTAACCTCATATGATTTAGTGTAACTTTAAAGTATTTCTTTTTACCAGTGAGGAAATGTGTAAAACCATTGGTTCATGATTGTTTGACCCTGAGGGAATGTAATCTCCTAGCTGTTTCAGACCACAGACTTCTCTTTGTGGTATATGCTGTGCTGCTTAATGTAGCAAATAAAGTTGATCTGTTGTGCAGTGGAACAACTTCTTAATTTCTTCCAAACGAGTTTCTAAAAGTTGGATTAAACTAGTGTTCCATTAGCTGCCACAATATGCAGAAAAGAATGGCCAAAAAACTTTCTAGGAGGCAAGTTTACTGTCCAGATATATTGTTATGGGGTGATTAATTCAGTCCTTGCTTGTTTGTGTTTTCTAGCTCTCTTGCCAAGAGATGGGCTTTTGATGATTTGAATTTCTATTACTTCCCCTCTGCCACCACCACAGTATAATGGTGTAGTAGCACCTTTCTTTATTTGCATAGTTCAGTCATCCCATTTCTCATTCTTAAATTCCATTTTTATATTCCCAGAAAAACACAAGTCCTCCTTAGGAAGACTGTAAAGTTTGTTTCTACACATCATAAAGGTGTATGTGGGTGATGGAGGTAGTAGCTTTTCACTCGGGTCATGTACCCTGTCCAAATTCCCAGACCATCACTTCAACAGCACTACTGAAAGAAATGCAAAGATGTGTTATATAATAAGACTTACTGAGAGCTGACTTCTGAAGACATGTCCAGCCTCTGGGGTAAAGAATACAGTCTGCTGAAGTGTCTGCAAACTTCACCGTTTTCTTGAGTTTACTAGTGCAACTAAACCTGGTGCAAGTAGAGGAATTCAGATTATGTTAATGATCAGCTGAGATGTTGATCTGGGATCTGTTCCTTTAAGATCTTCTTAATCTCTGCAAAAACCAGTACTTTCACATAGAATAATGAGAAGTCAGTCAGGTAGTTGCTACTTAGGGTCATTATCAACATGAAAACTTTTGTTAGCAGGATGCAAAGAATTTCATTTTTCACTTACAGAATCACAGTGATGTTGGAAGGAACCTCTGGAGGTCATCTGGTCCAACCTCCCTGCTCAAGCAGGGCCACCTAGAGCCAGTTGCCCAGGACCACATCCAGATGGCTTTTGAATGTCTCCAAGGACTGAGACTCCACAGCCTCTTGGGGCAACCTGTTCCAGTGCTTAGTCAGAGTGAAAAAGTGTTTCCTGATGTTCAGAGGGAACCTTCCATGTTTCAATTTGTGCCCATTGTCTCTGGTTGTGTCACTGAGCACCACCGAAAAGAGCCTAGCTTCATCTTCTTTGCACCCTCCCTTCAGGTATTTATATACATTGATAGGGTCGCCCCTGAGACTTCTCCAGGCTGAACAGTCCCAGCTTTTTCAGCCTTTCCTTCTATGTGAGATGCTCCAGTCCCTTAATCATCTTTGCAACCCCATTACTGTACTCTCTCCAGTATGTCCATACCTCTCTTGCATGGAAAAGCCCAGAACTGGGCACAGTACTCCAGGTGCTGCCTCACTAGTGCTGAGGAGAGGGGAAGGATCGCTACCTTCGACCTGCTGACAATACTTTGTCTAATGCAGCCAAGGATACCCTTAGCCTTTGTCACAGGGCACATTGCTGACTCATATTCACCTTGGTGTCCACCAGGACCCCCGGGTCCTTTTCTGCAAAGCTGCTTTCCACCTGGGCAGCCCTGGGCCTGTACTGGTGCCTGGAGTCATTCAGATGCAGGTGCAGGACTTTATACTTCCCCTTGTTGAACTTCATGAGGCTTCTGTCAGCCCATTTCCTAGCCTGTCAAGGTTCCTCCAGGTGGCAGCACTGCTGATGACACAAAACTAGAAGTGGCTGATCTGCCAGAGGGTGGCTGAGGGAATTCTCTGCCCCTTCATCCAAATCATTAATGAAGATGTTGAACAGGATCAAACACCATATTGACCCCTGGAGCACACCACTAGTTCCTGGCTTCCAAGTAAAGTTTGTGGCCCTGAAGACCACCCTTTGGGCCTGGCCATTCAGCCAGTTTTCAATCCGCCTATCTGCTCGAGCAGCCCACGCATCACTAGCTTGTCCATGAGGATCTTACGGATACAATGTCAAAGGCCTTATTGAAGGTCAGGTAGACAGTATCCACTGCTTTCTCCTCATCTACCAGGCCCATCATTTCATTGTAGAAGTTTATCAGATTGGTCAAACATGACTTTGCCTTTGTGAATCCATGCTGACTACTCCTTTTTCTTGTCTTTAATATGCCTGGAAATAGTTCCCAGGATTAGCTGCTCCATCACCTCTCTGGGATTGAGATAATGCTGACAGCGCTGTAGTTCCCTGGGCATTCCTTCTTGCCCTTCTTGAAGTTGAGGGTGACAGTTGCTTTCCACCATTCTTCAGGCATTTATCTTGGTTGCCATGATCTATCAGAGATTATTGAGAGTGGCCTTGCAATGACATCAGCCAGCTCACTCAGCACTAATTGGGGCATCCCATCAGGGCCTGTGGACCTAGGTATGTCCTGTTTTTAGAAGTATTCCCTGACCTGATCCTCTTCCACTGGGAGTGTGACTTCCTTACTCCAGCTAGTCCCACTGGTTTCTGGGATGTGGGATTCCTGAAATCTGGTCTTGCTAGTAAAGACTGAGGCAAAGAAGGCATTCAGTACTTAAGCGTTTTCCATGTGGTGTATAACCAGGTCCCCTGTCTCATTGAGCAACGGACTGACATCTTTCCTAGTCTTTCTTTTGTTGCCAGTGTACTTATGGAAGCCCTTCATGTTTTCTTTGACATCCATGGGGGGGATTCAATTCTATCTGGGCTTTAACTTCCCTAATGGGCTTTAACTTCCCTAATGGGCTTTAACTTTCTTAACTTCATCCTTGGATGCTCAGACAATGTCTCTGTATTCCTCCCAGGTTACCTGTCCTTGCTTCCATCTGTATGCTTCCTTGTTGTGTTTGAGTTTGTCCAGGAGTTCCTTGTTCATCCACGCAGGCCTCCTGGCATTTTTGCCTGCTTCATATTCGTTGGTCTGAACTGCACTTAAGCTTGAAGGGAGTGATACTTGAATATTAACCAGCTTTCTTGGGTTCCTGTTCCCTCTAAGGCCTCATCCCATGAGACTCTTCCAAGCAGATCTTTGAAGAGGCCAAAGTCTGCTCTCCTGAAGTCCAGGGTTGTCAGCTTGCTTTTCACATTCCTCCCTGCCCTCAGGATCCTGAACTCTACCGTCTCATAGTGTCACCTTTACCTGTCCTCTCTTTTACTTGAATAGAGTTCAGTTATTTTCTTCTCCTGCTGATTTTTTTTTTTTTCCCCACCTATCATGCTGATTCATTAGAGAGGGCAAGGATACAGACAAATTGTAGAGGCAGCCATCTAGGTTCTTCAGAAGTTCTTCCTCCTCTCAGCTGAAATTTGAACGTCATGCATTTTTACTTTTTTGAAATACTAATTTTTCTCTGCTGATGAGAGCTGTGTAGTCTCAAAAGAAGGTGTTCTGCAAAGACATAATATTCTTTGATGTAGATTCAGTTTAAATTTATTCTTTTACTTGACTATTGTATTCCTGTAGAATGCTTACTCTGCAGTGCTTCTGGTATCTAGTAATGGTCACATACTAAGAACATGCCATTCTTGGATCAAAAGAATTAAAAAAAATTGTAGTTGAAAAAAGGACTTTTTATGAAAACCAGTTTCTCCTCATGTTTAAGCATAAACTATTTTATGCATCTTAAGGAATGTCTTTTAATATATCTACACAAATGTGTATCTTGACAGTTTTAGTAAGGTGCTGTTCACATCTACACAGAATGCACAGCATCCCTTTTAAATGGAGTTTGAAGAAAAAAATTGCATTGTATTAAAATTCAACTTTTTAAAGTGTGTTTCAGAAGAAAATGTTCTAAGACTGCATGTAGAATATGATACTAATTTAGGCATTAGCTTTTGCCACAAGGAGTTTGTGTTGTTATTCTTTGTTGACATGAACACTGAAACATGCCAGTTTCAATGTACATATCAGAAATTGAACATGTCAGCTTTACTAAAACTGTAACTGGAGTAAGCTTACTCTTGGATCATCTGTCAACATAACTTATTTTACATTTTGTTGTTATTGTAAGATGCAAAGCGGGGAAATGAAGTAATCATTCGACATAATTATTTCACTATAACAGTAATTATCTTGAAGCAATTTTTTAAAGATGTTTTAGAGAAATATCTTCAATTGCTTTCACTTGGATTAAAATGGGATAATTTTCATATCTTATAGGGATGCTTCCTTTGGTACTTGCAGTTTTCATCTGACATTGCTGGACTGTTTTCATGCAATAAACAAGGTCAGTAAAACAATATTTTTCGTATTGCAAAAAGGTCATCTAAATATTTCCCAGCAGAAAAAGAAGGTTTAAGAAGGTAGAATCCAATTAGAGCTGTGCAGTAGCAGATTTTCTGATTGTTGCCTAGCTTATTATGTATTATGCATTGTAACAAAACTTATAAATACAGCATCCATAGAAATCAACTGATACCTTATACAATCAACTAGTGAAGATTTTAAAGAGGGAATTCAATTACATTTATTGATGTAATCTTTCAGGACAGTAATTCACACCTCTAATCCCTAAGAGTTGTGTGATGGGTTTATTATAAGCCCCCTGGTGTGACATTTTAGGCTGAATATAGTCTTTGAAAGTGGTTTTGAATTGGTTAGTGATACTCATTGGGCATTTGCAGCGTGTGCTAATTACTTCAAGTTTTTGCTTTAGTAATACAAATAGAAGAAATGTTAGGAGGCAGTTGCTTTTTTTTTAACCACAGATTATCATAATCTAGTGTTTCATAGCAATACAGCGGTGAAGTAGCATGGCATTGAAGGACAGGGGAATTTATATGCATTTGTTTTTGTCTGTATGAGAAGTGAAATGGGGAATTCTGCAGCTCTCCACCTTCCTACTGTCTTTTGTGTTATGGGTATCTCTGCTAAATGCTGTGTTTTTACTGAATAAGCCAGCTTCTTACATATTTGTGATTTTTCAGCTATTTTGGATGTTTTGACATTGGCTGCTTGTATGCCAAGAGTGGTGAATTGCTGTTCTTCTTAGTACCAGTGAACAGCAAGAAAAACTACAGAAGATTGTGCAGTGAAAGAGGAGATTAGGATGTACTATTTTAAATATCTGGAGATACAGGATTATCTGCATTTGTGCTTCCTAACTTAATAAATGGGTAAACTGCCAGTTACCCAAATGTTTACATTTTTTATACAATGTTAAATATAATGATTGTGTATAGTTATGGGACATCAGGGTCTGCAAACAATTTAAAATCAGTGAAGATATTAGCATAGTAATGAGAGCAAATAGCATTCATGCACAAAAATACTTGCAATCCTTGAATGAAGACTTCAGAGTGTACTCAAAATTGCAACAGCTATTTTTTGCACGTTATTTTTCTCTTTTTCTGTTTTGCATACCTAGCAGTAATAAAAAGACTGAATGCTTCTGTAGTCTGGAATTCTGTAGTGATTCAGTGAAAACAGAAAAGGGTGGATTTGCTTGTCTAACTTCACTTATGTTAAAATTTACAAATGTGTTTTGAACTAAGACGGAGTTGATCTGTATTTTTTCAATTGTATGAAGAAATCTCTCTGAAATCAGAGTAGAACAGGTATTATGCATCTTTCAGTAACCTTGAAGAGTGATAAACTGTCCTCACTGAAAATGTGTTGTCTCTGTTAAAAGCTGTATTCTGAATTTTAGGCTTTGCAGTATGGTTTCCTGGATTTCAATACATTTGATGTAAATGAATATGAGCATTATGAAGTAAGTGCTCAGTATCATTCTTCTGATTTGTTTGCTGTTACTAATGCTAAGATGATTGTTTGTAATACATGGTGCCTTTTTATATTTTTGTAGTATTAGGTTCCATTTCTGTTTTGTCTCTTTAAACTTTTATTGTTAAATAAAGCTGTGTGGTCAGAGTGAAAATATTAAAATTCAGATTTTATTTATTTTATTTATTTATTCAGAATTTAATCATAGTCAGCCTCTAACATGGGGGGGAAGGAGAAACCAAAATGGAAATAAATACTTTTTTCCCATTATTATTAAAGCCCTAGAAGATGACAGGGGAGTGGGAATTTGGCCACCTTTTAGAGGTCATGAGTGTTCTTGAGAAGTCTTGATGAGAAACCTGAGGGCATACAAGTCCAAGTCTAACTGAATTATGGAGAGCAGTTAAAGTATGTATCTGTGAACACATGACAAAGGCATAATAACACTCTTTGAGGTAAAGAAGGAAACAGGGCTGGGAAACCCCAAGCCTATAAAATTCACTTTGGGGTCTGGGAAATGAATGTGACAATGAAGAACTGCAACTCATGACTATATGCAGTCTCAGAAATGAAAAACTGCCAGTTATCTGTAAAGATAAAATCAAGTGTTCTTACAATCTAAAAAATTTATGATTTAAAGTGTGAACAGAGATAAGGCCAAGGTCATAATTCAGAAACATGAAAAAAATTAAAATTGGAAGGTGCCCTTTATCTGAAGGGCATCAGTTGTGTTGTTCTAAAACTCTAATTTAGAAAGAGGAGAACACGGGCAAGAAAAGTGAGGTTGAGAGCATCTGGCATCCCCCAGTGGAACAGAAAGCAGGCAACTAACATAACTTCCTTTGGCAAAGATTGTACGTCACTTCTATCTAGCATGTATTTTGAAACAATAAGGACAAGCCTGAAAATACAGGGTTAATGATAAACCAAGCATTTTCTCTTGACAGAGAGCAGAAAATGGAGATTTTAACTGGATAATACCAAACAAATTCATTGCCTTCAGTGGACCTCATTCAAGAAGTAAAATTGAAAATGGTATGCTTAAAAAAGGAGGTGGGGGACAGAAGCCCACTGCTTTCTTAGTTGATTGTTATCAGTAAGAAGAAGCTTTAAAAATTGTTCCTCAAACGGTGTGTTTTTTCCTTGGCTCTTTTTCTTTTATAAGAACCCTGGCAGTAAAATTTTAATGCTTGGTTTAATTGTTATCTGACCTAGGTGATTATGTTAAAATTCCATTTTCAGTTAGTCTATTTTTTTATGTTGAACATGAGTTCTATTTTGGGATTGTTTTCATCTCTTGTTTTTTAGTCTTTGTTTCTGCAGTTTGAGCTTTACTGTCTTTCTTTCCCCCCCCCCCCCCTTTTTTCCAAGAGGCTATCCACATCATGCTCCAGAGGCTTACTTCCCATACTTCAGGAAACATAAGGTCACCACTGTAATACGCCTCAACAAAAAACTGTATGATGCCAAACGATTTACAGATGCTGGATTTGAGCATTTTGACCTCTTCTTTGCTGATGGAAGCACACCTAGTGATACTATAGTTAAAACATTTCTAAATATTTGTGAAAATGCTGAAGGTGTTATAGCCGTTCATTGCAAAGGTATAGTGCAAAACCAATTTATATTCCAAGTGATGCTTATAGTTACAGTTCCTGACACATTTTGCACTGTAATTCCATTATATCTGGTTACTAACATGTTACTAACATCTTTGCCAAACTGCAGCTTTTTCACACAAATTCTTTCTATGCTTCTGTTGTGCGCTTCATCTTCTAACTTTCTGAAGTTCAAGAAAAATCTTCCGAGTTGTTTCCAAAAATGAGGCTAGGGAAAGCGAGCTTGCCAATATTAACAGCTCTTTCTGCTAGAAAGTGTTAACACTTTCAAAGGATACTTTTGAGCAAGAGTTTGAAGTCCTGGCAAGGTTCATAGGTCTTTCTGAAAATACACAGTTAAATATACCAAGTCATAAACTTTTGAAAATATTAATGCAGCTTTTTGAGGACACTCCTCATAATGTGTAAGTGTTCTTCCAGAACCGCAGAAATCTTTATCCCTCAGAAACCCTTTAATACTAGCTACATTCGACATGCTTTGAGTATCTGTTCCTCTAGAGTTAGGTTGCCAAGGAAAAGATATTCAGAGCATGCCCAATGCAGCTAGTAAAAAGATACAGTTTTCTGTGGTTCTAGAGGAAGTTTGTTTCCCTTCCCATACCGTCTTTGATAGTTTATCAGGCATTTGTTCTCCACGAACTTTGCCTCACTAGCATACCTGATAATGCTGTGATTGAAGGAGAAAGGCCTTTTCTTAACTGACATTCTTTTATTTTAAGACATTCTTTTATCTTACACAGCTGGTCTTGGACGAACTGGTACACTTATTGCCTGTTACATCATGAAGCATTATCGGATGACAGCTGCTGAAGCTATTGCCTGGATTAGAATAAATAGACCTGGTTCAGTGATTGGACCACAACAACACTTCCTGATGGAGTAAGTAGATTGGCTATAAATTATTTCAAAAATGGATCTAGATGTCATCTTCTTCTTTTATTGTACACTTAATCTTTGGTGTTAATTTTTTGTGTTTTGGGCTTTTTTTTTTTTCATGTTATAATAGCAAACAGGCAGAACTTTGGACAGAAGGAGATATTTTCCATGCAAAGTTGAAAGGAAACTGTAAAATTACTGTAACAAGAATTCTGTCAGGAGTAGATGATATTTCAATTAATGACACAAGAAACAGGAGAACCATCCAAAAGGACATTGAACTGGTAACCTTCCAAATATAGTGCTCTTGTAAAAGTTGTAACTGCTATTGAGAATCTCTCAGGTTCTGAACAAACTTGTGGGTCCACTAAAAATATGTTAATCAGATTTCCCTTTTTTCTATCAAGGGATATGGGGGGGCAGGGGGAGAAAGTATGGATAGTACATATGAAAAATGAAGTGCGGTACTCGTGAAGTAGCAACACCCTTATCATACTTTGGTCTTTAGTAATTAGGTAAATATTAGAACAAAAAAAAATACTCAAGATTTGCAATCAAAAACAGTGATTTTGTTTTGGATTGTCTCTTATTTCATTGTCTGTGTTTAAAGGGAAGGGATGAAAGGTTTTTGCTCTTTTTAGTTTCCAAGTAATTGCAACTTCTATAATACCTTTTGATGTGGCCTTTAAAAAAATAGTACTGCTGTTTTAAAAAGGCAAGTGAAGGAGGGAAATGCTGTACTTGAGTGAAGATTATACTTAGTGTACCTAAGCAAAGATTCGATATTATGTTTCTACTGTTTTAAAGGTAGAAAACATTCTGATGCATGCAATTCATACACCACTTAATGGCTTACAGCTTTAAAAGCATCAAGCATGAAACTGGAAAGAACAGAGCTGTATTTATGAAAGTGATTTCCACTTATTTTATACTGGCAAACTTGCCTGTTGCAGTAATTCTAACTTTAAGATTTAAGATAAGGTTAATTCTTACATGTCTAAGTGTCCGTATTTTAATCTTTTAATCCCCTCCACTTACCCAGTACAGTGATGAAGATGAAACAAACTGTGTAACACAAGGGGATAAGCTTCGTGCTCTGAAAAGTAGAAGGCAGGCAAAAGCTCCAACTGCATCTCCACTAAGGTAAGTCAGTTTCTGGATGTATAAGTGCCAGAAATACTTTCATCCTTTTCTATATGCAGCCAAACAAAAGCTTGTTGCCAAGGCTGCTTTTACTCATTTAAAGCAAGCATGAGGTTCACTGTTTCTCTGAAGGTCTTGGTGAGCGCTAAGGAGGCAGGAGAACTTTAACCAGTTAAAGAACTGCATTACTCAGTTTCTAGTTTTCTGCTTTGGTTTTGGTTCCAGTAGTCTGCACTTTACAGGCTCCCATAGTATTTCTGAATGCTTTACTTTTAGTTTGAGCACAAACATTCTCTTGTCTTTCCTGTGGTGTTATAAAAATGGAAGAATATGACTCCATGTGGTGGTGTTTGATTGGCTTGAATAAGGTACACGCTGTTTTTTGAGGTAAAGTCAGCCACCTAAGAAGAAGAATTGAAAAAAGAATCTTTAGTTTCCTTTCATTTCCTTTTCCTTGGAGAGGAACTTTCCCTAAATCCTGTGGGCTTTGGGATAATAGCTGGTAGATCTAGAGAGTAGCACTATTTCAGTAAATAAATTCAAAAGGACTGCATTTCTGTCAGGGAATCTGCTGTGCTAGTCTCTTTATTGTAGACAAGTACTGAAACACCACCTGTAAAAGCAATTTCGTAGTCGCCTTTGCATCTGTTGTAGCTTGTAGCAACTGTAGGTAGAAATACTTTCTGTCTACCCTTAAATAAACTACAGGAGAGCACAAGACTTGCAAGACATACCTGAATCTCATTTGATTGCTAGGAAAGGAATGGTGATACCTGACTGTCAGATTTTTCCAAAGAACACAGCACCAGAATCACAGACTAAAGGCAACCTGGCTTTTGTTGTGCTGTCTTTTTTGTATGGGGTGGTGCTGCTAGCTGCTGGACTTTTTTTCCTTTTTCTTTTTTTTTTAAGACCAAACAGTGTCATCAGGCTTTTAGAAAAAGTGAGAGATATTTAGTAAGACTGTGCTGAAGGTAAGGGAGTATGTCTTTGGAAACCTTCATACATTGTTATATGTGAATTCTGCTTTTGTTTTAAAAGATTCTCTTTTGTTCATGCTTATAATTTACACAGGCAATCAATCATATAAGAAGTAACAGATTCAGAACAAAACCTGTACCCAACTGACATTAAAAAAACCCCAAAACGCATCACCTCAGTTACCTCAAATAGCACAGTAAAAAGCAGCTACCTTGCACATTAGTTTCTAAGGCACATAGTGCCTAAGTTTCCACTTCTTCATATTTTTTTCATAAAAGGTACTTAAAAGTCATGTAATAATGGTTGTGACAGATCTTATTTATTGTAGGTTTTCATAGAATGAATGTAGACTGTGTGATAATCTATTCAGAGCCACTACCTTAATATGCAGAAAGCCTATCAGCTGTTAAAATACTATTCCATTCATGAAGCATTCTGCAACATGACAGCTCTAATTAAAACCAGTTAGGTTGTACTCCTGTAAAATCAAAATAATTGGTCTAGAGGTTATAGTTGTTTTTCATAGTGTGCATTGTGGCACAGGGAGTTGGAATTTCCCTCCTCCTCCAAGTTATTTGTATGGTTTGCAGCTTGTATGAAATAATTTGATGAAAAATGAATGTATAACTTCTTATATCCTTCATGTTACTATTATTAAACCAAAATATTGTGAGGATTATTTAGATGCCTACATGAGTCAGAAGTATTCCCTACTAGAAGAGGTGTCAGTCTTTTTCCCTTTTGGTTCAGACTGCTAAAAATAATTAGTCTTGCAGTGAAATTGATTCATTTTATCTGAGCAAACAAAAAGAAGATTCTAAATCCTCTGTGTAGTTTTATTTCACAGAAAAGAAAAAAAAAAAAAGGGCAAAATAAGAACACTAGAAGCTGGGACAATTACAGTCCTTGAGAGCTAGAGGCATTGCTTACATTTAAGTCACAAGGGAGCTGTGTATAACGTTTGTTAATGTTTGTTGAAGGAAACTTTATGTGCTTTGATGAATGGATACTTTGTATGTTCAATTAGCAATATTCTGCACCTTTGGCAAAGGATTATGAGTAGCTTTTGCTACTTTGAACACAGGAAGGTAATATACCTCATCATCTGGGTGTTTACATAAATTGTTTGTTCCTACAAACTGAGCTGGCTCTGATCTAATGTTTTACTATTAAAACATAGGATTGTGAAGTAGGATGTATGTGTACAGGATGATCAGACTGCGTAGGAGATGGCAGCAAGTAGTCAGAGATGTACTGCTTCAGCATGCGCTATTTTCAAAAGAGTGATACAGACTTTCTTTGGAATAGAAGACTTTCGTGAAGATTTCAGAAAATTTGCTTTTATTCCAACAACACACGGATACCGCATTTGGGAATTTACGGTTGCATGGATAGTTAGAGTCATAGAAAGTACCCAAATGCTTGGCAAAGGTTGTAGAGCAATATGCTTTTGAAGAACTTGAAACAAGCTAAAATGCACCAATAGCTTTTGCTTTTGAATTTTTGTTCATCTTTTCCTCCCCCTCCAACCCCTTTTTTAGATGGCTCCTAGCTATGCTGGTGTCTACACTGTGTAGCATTGTCATCTGGTGGATTGTATGTGGCTCCCTTCTGCCCAGCCTGCTATTCTGTCTAGATGGTTTAAGAACATAGTAACCATCAGGACCCCCTGAGAGAGAGCCACTGTGTAAGTGTCCCATTCCATTTCTCTACAATAGCTCACACTTTCTGTCTAGTATGTCTCATAAATGCATGTTTTCATATCATGTTTCTTACTGGCTTTGTTGCAAGAGTAAATTTCACTGCTCTGGCTTTGTGTGTTTTTGTATATATTATTTGGAATAACTGATTTTTATGGCTGGCTTGCGATACAAAAAGGTGCAGAGCTTTTATAATTAGAATAATTTATAATATTGAAGCCTTTCTTCTCTGCATGCTCCTGCAAATAAGCAAAACTATATAAACAAAACTGTATGTGTAAGAAGGAAAAAGTACTGCTTTAAAATACGATCCTACCCTTTACGTATTGCAAATGAAGATACTAGCTCCAGTTTTACTTTGAAATTCACAAACTTTCAAAGATGCTTAGTTTCCCAAAGGATGGTTTTACTCACGTGAAATGCCAGGAATTAGAATTTGTTAGAAATGTCAGTAGGTCTTTGGTTTTACTAAGAGATTGTAGCATTACGTGACATAAATGACACTAAAATGGGATTTAACGTGGCAGAAGATGAGGCAGGTTGCAGTATTATGTCAAGGCTCATTTGTTTACCTAGCCAATCTGGTTTCATCTTCTTTGTTCTTAATTATTTTTTTTGTAGAACGTTGAGACTAGTTAATTCCCTTCTTTTTGTTACTTGGATTCAGGAGCTGAGTAAAGCATTAAAAATATATTAGTTCCTTGAATACAGTTTTCACTCTTTTTCCACTCTGCTTTTGTCAGAGTAGCTGCAATGATGGCTGTGGCTTGCTTCCATTTAAAAGGTACAACGTTTTCATCAAACAACAGCTTCAATCTTTTGGCCGAAAAAAACTTCAGCAGCATCCAGAACTGCCAGGAAATGCAAACAGAACTTTTTGCTTGCTACTGGGTCTCCCTGGATCTGTTCCACCACCACCACCCTCAAAGTGAAATGGTTACTTTGGGTGAATGCTTGAAACTCTGGTGTTCTCAGAGAAAAAATAGGTCAGAAAAGTGGTTTACACCAGAATACTAAGTAAGAAAAGGTATTCTCTTCTGGCAGAACATTGTTAGGTTTCTATCCTTCTTACCTTTAGCCTTGCAACTTTTTTTCCGCACTTTTAAAAAGTATGGGACTCTTTCTGCTAAAGTAAGTGACCTAATAACTAAAGGATGAGAACTGGGGACTTGCGGGCAACTTAGTTATCCTATTAGCCTTAGCTGAGGTCATCTTAACCTATTCTTTTGGAGGAAAAAAAAAAAAGAAAGAACTAAAGATCACTTTAGCTTTTTTTTTTTTCATTGGTAACTCACTTTGTTAAAGGACATACTTAAATGTGAGGCTTGTTTTCAAAGGTATACACCACATGTAGTACTATTTATTGTCTCATTGTTTTCCAAAGGTCAGAACACAGATTCCAGACTAAAAAGCTAAACAAAACACAGGCTGAAAAAATGAAAAAAATCTGTCCTTTGTTTTTCTGTACTGTAACATCAATTTCACTCAACTATCATCCTTTCTTTCTCTTACGGTTTCTGTGTTCTGTCTAAAAACTCCCTTGCTAGAGGTAAAGAGAAAAGACTGTTTGATGTTGGTAAATGTGTCACAATGCAAGCAATTGGGTTACTGGTGCTGCTGCCTCATATCCAGGATTGACAATCATACAGTGTTGATTTGTGTCCAGGAAGAGCTTGAGCTTAAACTTTTCTTACAGTGGTAGACGCTCTCTATTTTCCTAAAAATCATGAGGTGATGAAGAAGAAGACAATATTGCATTTAACAAACCTCATAAAACAGGTAGCCTTGGCAAGAATAAAATGCCCGTTGCAGGTCAAAGACATGCTCCTGTGTAACCTCTCTTCCCCTTATCCCTCTCTAGGATACTGTAATAATTTTTCTTTTAAAAAAGCTTGTTATGTGGATTGATTTATCTCCAAGATGTATTACCTTGCTGGCACTTCCAGTTTTGCAGATTTTGTCTTGGGTTGTGGGGTTTGGGCTTTTGTGTCCTGATGGTATATCTGTCTCTCTACCCCGGTCTGAGTTAAATGGTGAAGAAAAGTTGTGAACTATTTGCTACTGTGCTACTGACCCAAACACTGTTCCATTTAAGTATGTTTTCATTTGTTTAAAGGCTGATATGTTAGCTTGAATAAGAAAGTAGTGTGCAAATTGGTCTAGTGTTTAGGGAGCACATAAGGTTCAGAACTACCAAATGATGCTTCCATTACAGATTAACTGAAGATAAAAAAGTTCTTATGATATATGGATTACCTGTTTTAGTAGTGTCGCTATTACAGCACTTTGTATACATCAGGTGCACTTTCTGCTGGTGTT